ATAACTCAAGAAATATGTGATTTACTTTAAAAAATTTTACAGATTTGAGAAAACACATTAATTAACCATGATTGTAGAAAATTTGGTCAAATTCTACCGAGTGGTTACCGAATAATTATAAAATTAGTAAAAAAAAATATTTTTGAAATTTTATCAATTTTCTTAATCAATTATTAACTTTGAACGCAAATATCTCAAAAACTAACAAATATAATTCAATTATTCTTTAATATTTTAAAAAGGACGTTAATTATCTTTAAAATACCAAAATTTTATCAATTTACACCGAGTGATACATGAATAATAGTAAAATTTAGGATATAAATAAATAATTGTAAATTTTGCTCACTTTTGAAATTAAATTTTGACTTTAAATGCGCATAACTCAAAAAGTATTAAATATAATTTTAATATTTTTAAATATTAAAAAAAGTATGTTAATTGTCATTAATATTCCACAATTTCATCACTTTCTACCGAGTGGTACACGAATAATAACAAGATGAAAATAAAAATGAAGATTTCTGATTTATTTTTCCACAATAAATATTATTGGCACGTGCAAGATGCACGAAAAGACCATTTGACTTTACTTTTCTTCAATGTTTGTATTGTTTCCCCTAACAGCGCGCACATGGCACTGAATCAACACTTCGATGACAATAGGCAATAAAATTCGAACATGAAAACGCAAGCAATGTGTTTACTTATGCATTACTCGCATTGCTTTGCGCACTTTGTAAGTACGTGAAAGATCAATATTAAACGCAATAATATTTTCAGTGCAAACATTGCATTTGCATCTCAGCTCGCAGCTAGCGCTGTGCGCGCAAATTGTGTTTCCTACGTAACCTCAAAAGCGCGCTACGCAGCAGTGCGTCCGAACAAAGAAATATAAATTGTAAGTACGCGGCGACGGTCGGGTCGTTTCAACGTTTAATTTTTATTAACTTCGTTCCTTTGGCGCGCCGTGTCCTCTCGTCTACGTTTCGAATGAAAATTTAATTAAAACCTGCGGTCATACTACAAACAAGCGCAAAATAAAAATGTATATCGTCAAAATATGATTGTTTTATTTCTTTTCCGCTTTTTTATTTGAAATAAAATTTGCGACTACAAATTACTTTTCATGCTTGTAATTTGAAAACTATTACAGGAAATTGAAATATTATTTCAGGGTTTGAAAGAGGGGTTAATATTTAATGTAACTGTAAACTTTTATTCATTTCTACCGAGTGGTGTACGAAATATTATAAATTTTTGAGTAGAAATGAATATTTTAAAAATTATGATTTTTTAAATTATTTTTTGACTTTAAAAGCGGATAACTCAAAATCCATTTGGTAAAATTTAAAAATTCTTTAATATTCAAAAGAAGAAATTAATTGTCTTTATTATTTCAAAATTTTATCAATTTCTACCAAGTGATTCGCGAATAATCGCAAAATGAAAAATTAAAACGAAAATTTCTGTATTTCATTCAATTTTGTAAATGAATTATTAACGTTGAATGCGGATATCTCAAAAACTATTAAATATAACTTAAAAATTCTTAAGAATACGAAAAGACACATTAATTAACTTTAATATTTGAGAGTTTGATTAAATTCTACAGAGTGGTTCACAAATAAATTAAAAATTTTCAATTAAACCAAATTTTCCGTAATTTTTGAAAATATTTCGAGTTATTTATTAACATACGTCAAAAACTAACCTAAAAACTTCAAAATAAAAAAATTAAGTCCATTAACTCTTCATTTATACTAAGGGTTTCAGAAAATTTTAATTTTTACAAAATAAAAAGCGTAATTCAAGCGCTGGATGAAAAATATCTAATTTAATTAGCAGGCGCACACAACAAACAAGCTACGTACTATAACTGAATGAAAGTAGGGATGGGACTCGACGTACAAATATTTAACTGTTGTTAACATCGTTTCAACAAGTGCGAAGTGAACTTGTGCATGATGATGAACATGAACAATTCCAAAACACAATATCTGTATGGTAGGTATTAGAGTATTAGCTTCGTTTTACTTTTCCACTCGACTGCAGAGAAGTGGATGAAGTCTAGGCACCAAAGGAGGTAAAGTACAGCGTAAAATTGATCAAGTTAAGTGGAAACTTGGCCCGACGCCTCCCGCGCTTGTAATTGACTCCCTGAGCCTCGACGTCAGGCGCGCGAGCGAAACAGGATATTAAAATATTCCCCTGTTCGGCGCGTACCCTAGGTGGAGGTAAAAGTGGAGGTAACGTGTTCATTATGTACACGTTCATCAACAGCATGATAAATAAAAACTCCAAATTTAATTAATTTTGTTTGAAGACAAATTAAAAATTTATTTTGTGAAAATGTGAAACATATTAGGTCACTGCTTGTGTGTAAATAATGTTTGGAGTTTATTTTTTACTTTAAAGACAGATATTTTGTATACAATTGGACATAATTTAATAAGTCAAAAATATTTAAAAAGAGGTGTTAATTATCTATAATAATCCAAAATTTTATCAAATTCTACTGAGTGGTTGACGAATTATAATAAAATGAATAACAAAAATCAAGAATAAACTCTGTGAATCCACTATGAACTTTGATGGCAAATATCTTAAAAACTATTCAATAAAATTAAAAAATTCTTGGAGAAGAAGAAAAACACACTAACCGACTTTAATATTTGAAAAGTTTTTCAAATTCTACGGGGTGGTTCACGAATAATATTAAAATTAAATTAAAAAAAACAAATCTTTCTGTGCTATATTCAATTTTGTTTATCAATTATTAACTTTGTAAGCCGATATCTCAAAAACTATTAAATATAATCAAAATATTTTTACATATTTAAAATAACACGTCAATTTTCTTAAATATTCATCACCTGCACGATAAATAAATACTCGAAAATTTAATTAAAATAAAAAAAATAAATTAAAAATTTATTTCGTCCGAATGTAAAACATGTCATTTCCTTGTTGATTAAATAAATGGATGTAAAATTGGCTTTCGGAAAAAATTGTGATTCAGTAAATGAATGCAAACGACATCTGCAAAATTCAGTGCACACACTTTTATGGACGTTTTTATTCGAATTTATTTTTTTGTGCGCGCGCTTGCCTGCGATCAAAAAGTCAGCATGTGCGTCATTTAATATTCATCGAGGCATTTTATCGACGCCGAAATGACCGCCTGATCAATAACTAATGAATTGGATAAACTGTACGCACGGCACGTTTTTATACGTCATCCCTAATCAAATGTAAATAAAACCGAGACAAAGAAAGAACACGAAAGACACGTGTGCAGAAATTGTGCCATCTGCTACACATATTGTAATTGCCAAAAAGTGTGTGGATATATAAGACACCTTGTGCATTTTGGGCTTCAAGAGAAGAGTTCAAGTAGAAAACATCAATTTATACAGAGTGATACAGAAATTATAATAAAATGAATATTAAAAATAAGGATTTCTGAATTAGAAGCAAATTTGTAAAAAAAATTATTAACTTTGAAAGCAAATATCTCAAAAACTATTAGATAAAATTTAAAAATTCTTACAGATCTATGAAAACATATTAATTGACTTTAATATTTGGAAATTTGATGAAATTCTACCGGGTGGTTCACGAATAATAATAAAATGAATAAAAAAAATAAATATTTCAAAACTATATTCAAGTTTCTTAATCAATTATTAACTTTGAATGTGAATATCTCAAAAACTATTAGGTATAATTTAACAATTCTTAAATATTTAAATGAAGACGTTAATTATCTTTCATATCTCAAAATTTAATAAATTTCTACTGAGTGATACATGAATTATAAGAAAATAAATATTAAAAACGGATATATGAACTACATTAAATTTAATAACTCAATTATTAATTTTGATATCAAATATCTATAAAAATATTAGATATAATCTGAAAATTCTTTCATATTTTGAAAATCACATTAATGGACTTTAATATTTGAAAATATGATAAAATTCTACCAGGTGGTTCACGAATAATACTAAAATAAACTAAAAAAACCTAAACAAAGAACGATACGAAAGCACGTGTGCAAAAATTATGCCATCTGCTACACATATTGTAATTGCCAAAATGTATGTGTATACTCGTATAACACAAGCCACCTTGTGCATTTTGGGCTTCAGGAGAAGAGTTCAAGTAGAAGATAATGAATAGTTGTCCGCCAGCTGCACAAGATAGTTTAAGCGGTGGCACGCTCACGCGCCTACCTGCATCATCTCGCACTGAGCGACTTTAGTGCCTGGCAGTCAGTGGGTTAAAATAAAACGAAATAAAACAATTTCAAGGTGCACGGAAACATCTGCCGCACGTGTGCATTCTGATCCGCGGCGCGCACAACCTCAATCTTGTTCGAGTGGTGATCGTGGACGTCGTGAACGTCGGGCACTAATGATGTGGGCTTCCACTTCTCGGTCAATATTAATGATATCGGTGTTAGTTAGCTGACCAAGTGATTTAAATCTTGGAAAGGTTTCCAATGCAATTCCAATTTGTGTTATATTTCTGTTTCAGATTTTTTTTACTTTTTTGTTTGTAATTTAAAAATTATTAGAGGAAATCGAAATATTATTTTAGTGTATGAAAAAGGTGATAATATTTGATATAACTGCAAATTTTTATTAATTTCTACCGAGTGGTATAAGAATATTTGAATAATTTAGAGTACAAATTAATATTTTCTAAATTCTGTTAATTTTTTGAATTCACTTTTGAATTTAAACGCGTATATCTCACAAATTAATAGAGGTAGAAATCAGCGGATTGTAAATTATGAAAGAGTAGGAAATTCTCTACCAGATAAAAATTTAAAATTATTTCATTTGGTAAAGTAAAAAGTCGAAAAACGCAACCAAAATGTTAAAAATTGAAATTTTTTAATTTGCATTTGTTGCATCATTTGTCCGATAATTTTCGATAGCGAATATCTCCCAAACTAAATGACATAGCAACCAGCGGATTGTAGATTATGAAATATTGAAAAATTCTCCATTAGATGAAAATTAACAATAATTTAATTTCGTGGGATAAAAAGCCCAAAAACGTGACCAAAGTACTAAAAAGTGACATTTTTATTTTTTTGCACAGTTTTTTCAATTGCAAATATATCGTAAACTAAAAAAGATAAACAAGAACGCATTTCAAATTCTTAATCTTCGGAGAATTCTTTATAAGATAAGCTTGTTAAATGAATTACATTAATTAAATTATATTAATTTGTAAATTATTACATCAGCTTGTAAACTATGAAAATATTTGGTATTGAAATTTGAAATTTATCACTGCACTACCTGATTTGAATATTTTACGAATAAGAATTTACATAATGTATAAGATAATGCTTTACAAATTTGGTATAAATACCCGCAAGTTTTCCTTGGCAAAGTATCAGTTTGTTCGATTATACAAACAGCAACAAATCAAATCAAAATGAAATTCGTAAGTAAACAAATCTATTTTATTTACATATTTATTTACTTATATATAAGTAACTAAAACATAAAATTTTTATTTTTTCAGATCCTTGTTTTGTGCGCTTTGGTAGTTGTGGCCTCTGCCACCCCATATTACATTGGTTCTGACGAAGAGATCCCAGCTGATATGCCATCAATGGAAGATCACAGCATCACAACTGCCACACCCGCTAATGTTATTTTGCCCGCCAATATCGCTGTTGATGCCATTCCCAATGCACCAACTGGCCCCAAGAGTGGATAAATTTATCAATTTACCAAAAATAATTGATTGCATGTTATGATTAAGATGATTCCGATAATATATTAATAAAATATTTCTGCATATTTTTGTTTGTTTTCGTTTTACATGTTTTCCAGAAATTTTGGGTGCGAATATCTTGAGAAATAAAAGTGATAAAAGGGAACGGATTAAAAATTATGAAAGATTGGAAAATTCTCTACTAGATAAGAATTAAAATTAATTTAATTTCGTTGGATAAAAGGCCTAAAAACGTGACCAAAGTGTGAAAAAGCGAAATTTTCCATTTTTTGTCTATTTTTTCAATTGCGAATATCTCGTAAACTAAAAGAGATAGACAAGAACGGATTTCAAAATCTTAATCTACGGAAAATTCTCTATAATTCTCTATAAGATTAATAAATCAAACAGATTTAGTTAATTTTAAAATAATTTTAAAATTTTTAATTGCAAGTGACTCAAAAACTATTATAAAAAACATAAAAATTCTTACTGATATACTTGGATATACAAAAACCCATTATTTGATTTCAATACCTAAAAATTTGATCAAATTTTCCCTAGTGCTTCCCCAATAAATCCAATACTTCAAAAAAAGAAAAAAAAAACAACAAAACATATTTCCTTCCACGACTTTTCTAAAAATTGTAAATATGTATATATGCTAAAAGCCAGTTGCTGGTAGATTTAAATTTATTTCTACATATATAAATTTTTTACCGCATGCACTGAGGTTGAAATATGAATTTCCACCATTTGCATATCGCGAAATTAGCCATCGGCGCACCGTAAAATAATCCGCGGCTTAAAATTGCCGGCATAATGAATGTCGGCGGTAATACGAGTACAACGAAACGTCACGGCGTTGTCACACGATTTCCTATAAATATTTACGCCGCCGGCGCTCCAGTTAAAAATACACCACAAATAAAAACCCCGCGCCGCCCTTAGAGGCGCTATATTTTCGTGACAGCGCCCGTTTCATAAATTCGCAAAGTTTTAATATAAAAATCAATAAACATCCAAAGTATCCGCCGGCGTACGACGCAAAACGCCTTCACATAAATTCGCGGAAGAGCAGAATCAATACCATGCACCCAAAGGGATGATATGATATGCGAAAAGTAACAAGCTTTCAATACACGCTCCACAAACACGAATGTATGCGAATTCGTCAACATTAACATCCATTCATCACGTTTAAATGGCGTGTAATTTGCTTATTATTATGTTTGTGTGTGTGTGTCGTTGCTCGTTACTTTTGTATTGATTCCAGAGCGAATAATAATAATTTATAATATTCTCTAATTTGGCGTTTTCGTTTCGTTTTGTGTGAAGCAGGCCCAAAACGATGAATTAATTAGATTGATTCGAGATATGAAATACTGCGCACGGTCGATGGATGCATTATTAAATTTTAATTAGCTTGGATGGACAACAATTAGCTGTATTCATTATTAAATTTATCCGCTTCTAAACCCTCGTATTAATAGCGATAGTTTTGTCGAATTATAATTTCGATTATTTTTGTTTTTGCTCATTAAAAATGCAATTGCGGCCGGGCAATTAATCTAAAATCGATAATTTAATTAGTTTATAAGGGGCAATATTAGTGGCCATTGCCAAGAGAAAAATAAATATCAAATGCTTAAAAATTACAAAATAATAAGGGTTTTGAATAATATTTTGTAAAGTTTAAAAATAATTTTTGTGTTTTTGGTAGTAAATAATGAAATAATGTTATTTATAGTTAATATGAATTAATTATTTAAAAAGGATGTGATAGTATATTAATTTTGCTATTTGCTAAAGAAAAAATATTTCAATTATGTTAATTATTAACAAAATGGTGATGGCCTAAAGTAATATTTTGTAAAACTTCAAAATTTCAAAAATAATTTTCTTGTTTTCTTTTGTTAATAATGAAATAATATAAATACTAACTATCATAAACTAAAAGTTTAAACAAATTTCCATTTTATATTAATTTTACTATTTGCTATAGCAAAAATAAATAAATTATGTTAATTATTAACATAATTACAGCGGATTAAAGTAAAAATTAATGAAAATAAAAATTATTCTTGTTTTTCTTAGTAAATATTTAAATAATTTAATTTCTAATTGCTATAAATTAAAAATTTAAACACAATCTAAAAGTTTATTAACCACACTATCATCCAAAGAAAAAACAACTAAATTATATTAATTAACAACGAAATGGCGGCAATTTGAAAATATAAATCCTAATTTTTTGGCAACAAAATAGAATTCCACCGCAAAATCCCGTTAGTTTGAAAATGGCGCAGCGACTTAAGTCAATTACGCCATTACGCCCCTAAATGCGTAAACGTGCACGTCTATCATATCGCCTCGCAGGCCGCCAGTGCGGATTGTAAATATTATCTTTCGGTTTACACGCCGCGTCCGCCAGCGCTGTGCATGAGGGTATTAGTTGCTACTTACAATACGCTCGAGTGGATTTTCACCCAGCTTCACATTAACACACAAACGCGCCCTTTATTCATTGGACAATCAAACTGTGCAAAGTCTTAAATTATACCAAGCGCACCAAAATCAACAGCAGCGCCAAAAACACAGCTTAACCTCAACAATATACACATTTAGGTGAATTTTGTATGTTTGTGACGCATTCACAGCTAAACCACTTGATGAATTTTTATAAAATTTTGTATAGAGAGAGTTATGATCTTGGGAAAGAATATAGACTATTTTTTATTTCATAAAAATAATTTTAAGGGGGTTAAATAAGGGTTGAAAGTTGTTATTTCTTTGTATTTCATTAAAAAGATAATGAAACTTTAAAAATAAACACATTTTTGTGATTTTTGTATGTTTGACACGCTTTCACGCCTAAACCACTTACGTAAATTTGATAAAATTTTGTATAAAAGAAGTTTTGACCTTGGAATAAAATATAAACAACTTTTTTCCCCGAAAAAATTATTTCTAGGGTGTAAAATAAGGGTTGCAAGTTTGTATCGCTCTGTATCACTTTGATTTCCACGCTGTTCGTCTATTGTAAGACGTTTTCCTTGCGCCGCCGCTAAAGAGGAATGCACTACTCGGTTGCAACAATACAAAGTCTGGCAGTGCGGTATCGCAGCCATCCATCTCCGACGAGCATGCGATATTAATCATTTTCCGCTGCGCTAGTAAGTACACACGGTGCACATTGTTGTGTTACCTCACCTGCGTTTCTCCGGCTGCAGGTTGCGCGAAATTTACGAAAATTCAAAACCCACTCGAGGCAATGCAACCCAACGCAACGTAAGACTATTGTGCTTGGGGAAATCAGCCAAACATTCAATTTGCTCAAGGATTCAAGACTCTGAGCATTCAAGCATTGATAGCTTATTAGATTTCTACGGAAATTGCAATTTTCTTAATAAATTTCTGCATGAATATAAAAATATTACTTATATTTGCTAAATGACCTACTCATTAGCTTAATTATGACACCTAGGGTCGTAAAAATTAATAACGTAAAAATTGTCGCCGCTAATGAAATTTTCCCCTGCGCCCGCACGTTTATGTTTGTCGACGTCCGGCGCCTCCACCACAATAACAACCCTTGCTTCTACATTAACATATTCCCTACAATGGCGTACAATTAATTAAAAACAGCGACGCAGTGAATTCGGCGAAAATAAAACGCAAATATTTTTAGCCGGCAGCAGGCAGAACGGGAGCGATTCGCGATCGTCAAGTGTGAAATGATCGAATTTGCATTTTGTCTCGGATTTAAATTCATTAACCTTTGCGGACCCGGACGCCGTTTCCATTAACTCTACATTTCAATTTGCCGAGGGTAAAGCGGAGAGAATTCTGAGTGCACAAAGATAATAGTTTGGTGTTTTAAAATTTTATTATTCTTTATTCAACGCGGAGAAATGCGAAAAATGTTTTTTGTTTTTGTTTTTGTGTTTTTGGAGTAAATTTGTTGTTTTAGGATGTATTAGGTTTTAGTCAACTGATGTATATTGTAATTAACATTTACCAGGATTGCTAATCTGTTGTTCTGTTGGTGCAGTACAATATTGACACATTTGGTGCAGTGATTAACAAGTTCATTATGCGTCAATTGTGCGCCAGGGGATGAAATCAGGCTATATTGTTGGAATAAAGTGAGATTATCTTGAAAACTACTGATTGGAAACTGTTTAAATTTTGGAAATATATTTTATAGGTCATGAAGTATATTTTAGGAAAATGTCAACTCAAAATATTAATTATTTTAGTAATTACAAGCAATTAAAAGCAAAAAAAGTGAAAAATTTTAGTATTTCCTTAAAATTTTTTGAATTTATAGCTAAAAATGTAAAATACCGGTATTAATACCGATATAGCGGTATTTAAATTTTAAATACCGATATTTCTTTTTAAAAAATATCGGTATTGAACTCAAAATTCACAAAAAGTGATTATTTTGTTATAATTTCCAAAATTCCATGTTTTTATTGATGTAAAATGCAAATTATCCACTCGTAAACACGTTGAGGTTGCCACCGTGTCAACATTTCGCAAGATTAAAACAATTTACAGACGCAGTAAAGTGTGAAGCGTGATCAAGCGGGGATTTAATTAAGTGCGAGTCATCGACAAATTGCCAGCCGTTTTGCCACCATCATAACTAGCAACTTGCCGCGCGACAGACGTGTCTCGTATTTCCACAACACAAACATAACCCACACCTAGGCGACGACATTTTGTCAGCGCAGAAATTCTGGAAGTTACAAGTGGAGACAAGAGAAAATTCGTCGCTGCTCCCGAACTCTGATTGCGACAGCGCGCATTGAAAATTGTTTCCAACTATATTAAACATCTGTTGGAATCGAAATCGCGTCGGGCGTTCGGTGTGTTATTGTTCGAAAACGTTCGAAATTGAAATTGGTGTGTTTTACGTTCGCAGTGCAACGCAGCGCAGCATATACCTAAACTATTCCGGTTTTGATATTTCATGAGTTTCACGACGCGCACACGCTCCCGGAAATCGCGCTCGAGTTGAAATTTGCTCAACCATCAAACGCGCATATTTACGATGTCATGTCAATGAAATGAACAT